AATAATAATAATAATAATAATAATAATAATAATAATAATAATAATAATAATAATAATAATAAATTTTCTCATATTAATCGTATTTGTCTCTTTTTTTTTATTGCTTATAAAGTTGCAACGAAAATTCCAAGCTTAGCGACAACACCACCACCACATGAACCGTTGGCAAGGAGTCCGAGGTGGGTCCCACGTGACGTGGAGATAAAACAAATATAAAATTGAAAATAACAACAACAAAAAAAATGAATCAATTTAAAACTCTATCTACTTCATTTTACCTTAAAAAAAATATCATAATTAATATTTTCTGCATATTTCGACCCAAAAATAGGAAAAAGATAGCAGGAAAAATAAGTCGGAAAAAGAGACGTTTGGGAAGCGTTCCCCTTTATAATTATATATATATATATATATATATATATATTTATTTATTTATTTATTTTTGGCCTTTTTTAATCACACGCAGCCAAAGGGGTTTTCGTCCGAGCACAGGGAACCGATCGCATACGAAACCTCGAATAGCCTCCCAATCCCTAAACCCACCCCGATTCCGCCCCCTTCCCCCAATTCCGTCGCCGAAATCCCGCCTCCAATTCCGATCGACTCCCGATCTTGCTAGGGGAGTATCTCCTCTTAATTCCGTCCATCTGTCGGTCTGTCGCCCTGACCCTTCCGCCGTTTCGAGTCGCCGTCGGTTAGAAGGCTTGGGACCGCGTGGGTGTTCCGGATTGAATTCGTCTTGGAATGGGCGATCTGCAGTCGTGGCCGCCGCTGGACAACGACGACGCGGCTGGGGGGCACCACTCGCCCGGGGCGCAATTGCAGGAGCCTAATCCCCACCCCTCGATGATCAGGGCCGAGAACTGGCGACGGGCCGAGGAGGCCACTCGAGAGGTCCTGCGGTGTATCCGGCCGACGGTGGTCTCCGAACAGAGGCGGAAGGCCGTCGTGGATTACGTACAGCAGCTGCTCAGGACGCGCATCCCGAGTGATGTGAGTCTTTTGTACTTGGTTTTTTTCTGTTCGATCTTTTATGGCGATGTCTAAATGCCTTCTATCTGTTGACTTTGTTATTTTTTCTTTTTTTTGGTTAAATTTGGTATTTTTCTTGCGCATTTTTGGTTCTTTACAGTGGGGGATACTTGATCTGGGCGGTCCTTTTTCAATTGTAGCTCGTAAATGTTTTTGCAGTATGCATGATGGTTGTGGTTCACGTCTCCCTCACTGTGTCTTCGCGTTGTTTTTTGAATTGTGTATTTGTTAGGTGTTCATTGAGTGTGGCGATTTCTTTTTCGCACTTAAGTGATAATTGACTTATTACTTTAAATTTTACTTCTATAAATCAGGTCGCATGCTGTTCTACATGGAACATCGCAGTTCTTACCCTGATTGCGCCTTTGTGGATTATCCTTTGCAAAGTTAGATGTTTTTTGTAACTTATTTATATTGTAGAATATTCATGATACGCCATGATCTGCCACAGCTTCCTCGGTACAAATTTTGCCTATTGGTTGTTATTATCTTTTAAAAGAAACATATATTCCTGCACCTTCTTAGCATTAACTCCTCTTCTGCACTTCTTATGATCTTGACCATTTGAAAATGTAGGTTTGATGACAGGAATAGACGATTCTAAATGTTGTTTTCATGACCGCATTGTTGTTTATGTGGTTCTGCTAAATGTATTAGTGTTTAAAATTGTACTCAATTTTGTTTTAACAGTCTTTATTGCTAATGCAAATTCTATCAGGTGTTCCCATTTGGATCAGTTCCCCTGAAGACATATCTTCCTGATGGAGATATTGACCTTACTGCTCTTGGTTTTCCAAACACTGAAGATGCTTTGGCAAATGAAGTGTGTTCTGTTCTTGGAGAAGAAGAACGGAATAAGGATGCCGAGTTTGAAGTGAAGGATGTACAACTCATTCGTGCTGAGGTTCCTCAGCCTTCTGATTTCAGTTTAATGTCCTATTCATGTGACGTTTCATTTATAATGGATCATGAACTATTATTAGTGCTGTATGTTTAGGTTGGATCTGTATCTTCTTTTCAGAATTTAACCAAAAAAGAAATGGAGGAGGATTTGAATAACTTATACACTCTCTAGGTTGAGAGAAGAGAATTGGAGAAGACAAAGGGAAGAGGAAATAAATATGGTGATTTTTATTTTGACCCCATTTTTTAATTCTCTTTGAAAAGAAGTGAGAGAAATGGGATAAAGAAAATCTTTTAGCGCTCCATTTTTCTTATCTTCTATATTTTTAAAAAGTAGGGAGATGTCTTTATTGTCTTTTCTTTTCCTCTCCCAATCAAATTTGAGCCTCAGGCATATGGTTGGATATTATACAAAAAGAAAAATCACCACATGATATGTTTTCCATCACAAGGTGCATATTGTCTTGTTTATGATCCATAGTTTTATAAGGCTGTGATTTTGTCAAATCATGCCCCCACATTGTGCATCAGGGCAGACAGTGATAACAGACCCTTACAGCTATGTTGATAGGAGGTCTGCAATAATCATGTTTTTGAGTCTTATGATGTGAATTTCTGTGGGCAGGTTAAACTTGTCAAATGCATCGTGCAGAATATTGTGGTGGATATCTCATTCAATCAGATTGGTGGGCTTTGTACACTTTGCTTTCTTGAGAAGGTAGTGTCAAAAGTTTGCTGGTGCAACTTCAGAAATCTGACCTTTTATTTCCTTCCAAGACACAAGAACTCTTGAAGATGACATCAGATGTTATTGCTCATATGAATTTTCATTCTTGGCAGAAAATTTTAAATCCAGTGCTGTCTTGTAGGTTGACCGAAAAATTGGAAAAAATCATCTTTTCAAACGCAGTATAATATTGATCAAAGCTTGGTGTTATTATGAAAGTCGCATTCTTGGAGCTCATCATGGTCTGATTTCGACATATGCATTGGAGATTTTAGTATTGTATGTCTTCCATCTATTCCATAATTATTTAGATGGCCCTCTGGCGGTGAGTGTTCCAAGAAATAAACACCTCATACCTAAAATTTCAGTTTTCTTTTTTACTTATATTTTTTTGCAATGGGTTTTTGGGCAATAAACATCTTGTATTTCTTATGAGGGGCTGTCATTTTCCAGGTTCTATACATGTTTTTGGACTACTATAGCAAATTTAATTGGGAGAAATACTGTGTCAGTTTAGATGGTCCTGTTTCTGTTTCTTCGCTACCAGAGCTAGTCGGTAAGCAGACTAAGTGTTACTAGTCATGGCAATTGTATAAGACTGTAACTGCTTGGTGACCAGTTCGATTATTCTTTCACAGTGGAACCACCAGAATCTAATGGGAGCTGTTTACTACTTAAT